ACGGATGTTGGTCGAGCGTTGAAGTTGCGTAAGTTGACGCCGCATTTTATTGGTCCTTATCAAATTTTAGATAAAGTTGGTGAAGTGGCTTATCAGATTGCTTTGCCACCGTCGCTTGCTAATATCTGTGATGTGTTTCATGTGTCTCAATTAAGGAGATACATTATGGATCCGTCTCATGTGGTCCAATTAGATGATGTACAGGTAAGAGATAACTTGACTGTGGAGACATCACCTATGCAGAGAGAGGATCGAGAGTTGAAGAAACTTTGTGGTAAAGAGATTTCCTCGATGAAGGTAGCTTGGGGAGGATCGGCGAGTGGAAACGTGACTTGGGAACTCGAGAGTCAGATGGGGGAGTCTTATCCTGAGTTGTTTGTTTGGGATAATTTTCGAGGATGAAAATCTTTTAAGTGAGGGAGAATTGTAACACCCCGATTTTTTATTAGTTATTTATTTTATTAATTATTATTTAATATAGTAATTAAATAATTATGTTATTTTGTGAATATATGTGTTATATGTGTATTATATTGTTGGGTGTGAGAATAGCATTATTAATTAATTTGGCCTTGGTATGTTGGGTTAGTGTGAGTGGGTGAGATAAGTCCATTAGTGAAATAAGAGTTAGTAAGAGTTTTGTAAAACAAAGAGAGAATTCTCAAAAAATAAGAGAAGAGAAGAAAGAGGAAAATAGGAGAAAATGGAGAAAAGAGAAGAGAAGAGGAAGAACTCTAGAAAGGATCTACATCCAAGGCAAGGGTGGGTAATTTGATTATTATGGAATTATATGATGTATGTAATGGATAATAAGAATGATTAGGGATTTTGCTCTTCAATTTCTAGATTTTGACACGTTAGGATTTGAATGAGAAATCATGAAATTGATGTTTGAATCATGTTTTGATGTTGGTAATGAATTATATATGTTAGATATATGCTATAATATATTTAAATAATGAAAAATGGCTAATTGGAGTGGGTTTTAGTGACCTAATTCGTAGGAGACAAAAGCTATCTTCGCATAATTTTTCTATGTTTAGTAGAGACCGCTTATCGCGGTGGAGGCCGCTTAGCGCGTCCTGGGACTGGAAGTTTTATATTTTATTTGATTGATTGGGGGTTTTGTATCCTTATGATTTATGAAGGATTTTCATGGATTTTAATAATTTATTCGATGTGTATTAGATAGGTTTTAGATGACTTTTTGATGAAAACATAACACTTATTTTGTGTTGTGAATTGATGATGAATGTGAATAACATAGTTTGATATTATTTGATATATGTTAATAAGATGTATTGAAGTGATGAATGCTATGAGAATACATTGTATGTGATTGATAACATGAGATGTGTATGTTTGTGTAATGGTGATGATAATTCAAATATGATAAATTAGGTGATGTATGCTTGTATGATTAAGATTAAGGGATGGTCTTAATTACATATGATTATTGAGATTGCACATGCATTATTTGTTGTCAAGAGACAACATTTTCTAGTTTCGTGGAGACTAGTGACTTGTCCTATACCTGAGGGATGGGTTTGAAAGCTTGAGGGATTGGCTTTTTGGTGGTTATCTGTCTAAGGGATGGACCCGACATGACCGGTAAGGATAACAATTGGTACCACATGCATATTGTATTGATTTACATTTGAGTCAAATGTGTCGATGTTAAATGTTAAATTGGTATGCAATATGTGATATTGGTGTGAATGTTACATTTGTGATATTTGTGATTTTATCTTTGAATCTTGAATCGTTGAGCAATGTTGTATATGTGAATATGTGAATTGTGTTAGAAAATGTTGAATACATGATTATGTGAAGTGTGATGGATTCAATTGATGTATGTATGTTATGAATTACTTATTATTATATATTTCTATAATGATGTGAATTCTCACCCTTCTGTTGGAATGATATTTTATACGACATTGCTCAGTTACCGAAGATAGTGGTGCTTCTTGCAAGGATTAATCGGAGGACCTAGTTCTTGTTTTTTCCGCTTATTAGATAATGAGTTATGCTCTGGTCATGTAACACGGGGAACATTTGAACTCATTTTGTTTTAAGATATATTTGTTATACTCTCTTCTATTTATGTTGTATTTTGAGATTAAGTGATGAGTGACATTTAGTGCCTAATGTTTTATTATATAATTGTCATTAGGGGATTTCAATTATTGGTATCATTATGAAAGAGAATTATTCCGCTGCGAGATGCATATGTGTTAGTGTATAGAACATGAATTTAAATGTGTGTTATGAGCATGACCAGTGGATTTGTGTTGTTGTTTTGAAGTACATGTGACGCCCTCTTTGATATGCATGCTAATTTACTCTGATTTTTCTGTTCCGCAAGATTAAGGGGGTGTTACACAATGTTTTATATTTTTGATTAATTTCATTAGAAATAGGAAACTGTTGTGTTTGATGTTAAACCATTAATTGAGATATTGTTATGTGATTGATTTTATGATTATCTTAATTCCATACGGCTTGTGCATATCCGAATTTCCAATAATTAGGTGTTAGAACAAGATTTGGTTCTGCATGTAATCTCTGAGCTTTGATGATAACAATACATATATTTTATATGTAACAATTTTTGTATCTAATAGTTCTTTTAGTATGCAGAGAAAACATTTAAATTGATTCAGGATTGTTATATGAAGAATCATCATAAATGTGTTTAGCTCGCATCAGAAAGACAATCGTATTCAGTTATGAAGAAACATCATTAGTTCTGAAGAATGTTGAATTTTTACCAGAAGCGAAATCATGTGTACTTCTCCAGATAAGTTGTTGCTTCAGAAGTCAAGTGTATTCAGAAAAGAATCAACAGTGAAGATTAAATAAAATTTTTGCTTCAACGATCAGATATTGAGTTTTTGCTCAGATATCAAGCTTTTGCTTCAATGATTAGATATCAAGCTTTTACTTCAAAGATCTGAAAACAAGGTAAAGTGCTATCAAATAAAGCTTTTGCTTCAACGCTCAGATATCAAGAAACTGTTTGTCAGATAAGCTTCTGCTACATATATAAAGACTAGGTTCTAGTTCTGAAGACTCTAATACATTTGGGAACACTACAATAATTATCTTCTGGAATGCTCATCACTTCTTATCAGAATCATTCCATCAGAAGATTGAAGAACAAAGACATGATCTCTTCTACGCTCTCATTCTACTTCATATCAAAAGTATTTCAAACAGAAGAAAATATCATAAACTTATACAAGAAGTAAAAAAGTATAACAGTACAACACATTTTCTGTTATTTGTGGAGAACACAGTGTACGGATAAAATTTGTGTGTGCTCCTTATTTTCCACGTTCATACGCTACCGTTGTAGCAGGTGGCTTGGTGAAAGTGATATTTTTCAACGGTCTTCTTTTCTCATCTTATATGAAGGGATTACTACTTCTTTGGAGAACAACCATTTTGAAGAAATCGAACGACAAAAATAAACTACTCAAAGAGAAGCATCAAAAGCATAAGAAAAACAAAGAGAGAAAATTCAAAAGAAAAACACAAAGAGTTCAGATTTGTGTTAACTTATATTCTCTAGAACACAAGAGTTATTGTTCATTATTGTGTTAGTTCTATCATTGTTGTACACACAAGATTTGTTGCTCATATTTGTGTGTAAACATTTGTTCTTCATTGTGGTGTTAAATCTATTTTTTAGAAGCACTATTATAAACACTATTGATTGTAAATCTTTCTAGATTTATTTCCTCAAGTGACTAAGTTAATTACTTGAAAGGACTAAGATATTTTTCTAAACTCTTAGAGTTTGTTGTAATCTTTCTAGATTATTGGATTAAGTCTTTTTCTAAGACAAAATCACCTTGACGAGTGGACAAAAGTAGTCTTCTCTAAGGTGAACTTGTATAAATCAAACGTCACTTTTCTTTCTTGCTTAGTTATCGTTGTTTGTTTGTGAAAAGCATTTGCTAAAAGAAATAATTTTTGAAACCCCAACTCAAATCCCCATTTCTTGCGTTTTTCTCCACCTTCAATAGGTTCATTTAAACTACTATTTTAATCTAGATCTAAAACCTTCCGCTCAACATTATTTTTCAAATAAATTTTTAAATAACCATTTTTAAAATATATTTTTAATTGGAAATCTATTCACTCACCTTCTAGATAAGTCGCTCTAGTCTTAACATAAACATAAACATTATAGAAAGTAATCCCCTTTTCATTTTTTTTAAACTAGTCTTACAGAAGCATGATAGGAAGTAATCCCCCTTTTTCATTTTTTTAAAACTAGAATCGAGTTTTAAATTGGGGTTTTTCACTTTTACCTTTATGTTTTTTTAGTTCAATTTGTAAATAAAATAATGTTTAGGGCAAATTGCATCAAATAGTTTAAGCCTATGTTTGGAAACTAAGTGGATTGCCGCCACACGTTTATTGACCAATTCACCATGATTTTTAGAAGCAGGTAGGAGGAACTTTAGTGCTACCATGATACTTCTAACGGGAACTCCATACCTTGACTCAATTCTTGCACATCCTTAATTATAAACCACTCTCGCCAACATGGTAGAGGTAACATTACTCAAATTCTCAATACAAAGCATTTGAATGAGCGTTTTTATCATACATAAATAGTTCACTCACAACAAATCAAACCACAATTGATCTCATTTCATTCAATTTCAATTGATTTTATCACTTGAAAACACACCTCCAGCATCTCTTCCAAAAAAACCTGATTTTCCCAACAAGATATACCATCTTATTTTATGCCCTCGGAGGCGCATAAAATAGTCGAAGCAAATGTCCATCACACAGCCACGTGGCTGCCAGAAAAATCAGTTCCAAGGCCAGCCAGATTATATAATGTAATGTACCTTAACATAACAGACTCAAAAGGCCAAAGTGCCAAAGCAATATGTAACATTTTTTCAAAGCATACATAAGTTCTGATTTTCCACAGTAGTGCGAGTTTGCTTCGTAGTGCGTAGGAAATAAGTGTATTACCGATTTTGTGAAGGCATTCTATCTGATCCATGCCTTAAACGAAAGTTGCTTGACCTCGTACTTGGGTCTGACCGGTTCACATTTTGGTGGTACGGTCTCCAGCTTGAATCTCTATCCACTTGACTCAACGACAATGAAGGCAAGTGGTCTCTTTCCCAAGCGTGGAAGCGACTTGGTAGATGGTTTTCTTCTTGGTAATTACGTCCTGATGAAGTTGATGGGATAAGGAAGAAACCACCACTTTGGTCGGGTGATGTGGCCACTGGTGCTAGCTGAGTTGAACCGTTGTGACTGCTGGCTCGTCGGGTTCCAGAAGCAACTGGTGCCCGCATTGTGGTTGAGTTAGGATGTTGTTGCGGTTGATAGTATGCTTGAAGTGCCTGGACTCTATCACGGGCACGAGCATTGCTACCGGGATAAGGAGGGATCATTGAGGAACCGATTGAGCTACCCGCTCTCGCGGCAGAACTGAAAAAATTAAATGTGCATTGAATGTTCGATCAATAGAGCATCAACTATAAATCCCATGAGCAAATTTCTACTAGTCAAAATTAATTAATTGCATACTCAACACCATAAGACCGAACATTACATGCGGGCATAAGAGAGGTACCTGTGACCAACAAGAAAGGGATGCATAAAAGATCCTGATCTCGGTACATCTGAACCACCCCTGACTGGCCTTTGACTAGCGGGTGACACCGAGGACTGATCAGAAGCAACTAGACGACTGCTTGCCGTAGAGAAAGGAGGGGTATGGTGCTCCCAATTGTGATAATGAAGATCCACGGCAGGAAATGCGTAGGAGCCTGGCATTTCACCAGGCATGGATGAACCGTTCCAATGGTTGAAGTTAGGTGCTTCTGATACAGTTCCACCTGAATTGGAGGAGGATGGATGTACTGGTCCGAAGTAGGCAACATATGGGCAAGGATGACTAGCAGATGATACAGCCGTATGTTCAGCAAATACGGCGTGTTGTCCGATTATATCAGGATCTGCATCTCATAAATTCAGTAAATTAATATAACTTGTGCAGTACATGCGTCAACTTAAAAAATGGAGACTTCTTAAAAGGAAAAGTGATATCTTACACGCAGTGGATGGATATTCGCCTTCCCTGGAAAAATCAGGAACATAAATATAAGTTGAATAAATATCCTAATGTTTCCATTAGTGTGTGTGTGGGTAAATGGATACTCTCACAATGCCTAAAATTTAAGAAACACTAAAAGGTTCAAATCATTATTCGTTCACAAAATGTTGGGCAAACTTGGTTAATTTGACTAGAATATTCAACATAGTACAAAACATATAACACTATGATGTTCCCCCTTTAGCAAAGGAGAGGCAAGCCAGCCAAAAGGGTATATCCCATTTCAACAGTTCAAAATAGAGCACATTTGTAAGGAAAATTTTCTTAGCTCAGCAAATAAAAAGAATGATTAATGTGACAGTGAAAGTTTTTTCTGATGATAGAAGACATTCTGGATTAAGCTTACTCGAAAGATGATGGAAGTCGCGCCAGATTGCCAAATGGACACCAATGAACTCCAAAGGACTGCAGAAACCATTTATGGGGGGAAATATAGTCAAAATGCGCAGAGAAGTATGAAGTAAAAGTGTTTTTTTTAAGCGAGAGGGAAAGACGTAAATCTTTACTATTACATTGAATCATGAACAGTTTAGATTAAAACATAAAGTCATTAAACTTTGTAAAATAAACATGTGATCGTTAAATAACTTCAATCTTAACCATCAATGCATAATTATATGTTCAAGATTAACTCTTCTTAAAGTTACGAGGCATTTATGACGAGTTCTCCAGCAAGAATAAAATAAAATGCCAAAAAAACATAAATTCAACAGGGCTTTACCATTTCAGAGTAGCTAAGATCATATATGTCCTCATCATGTGCCCAGTCATCGATGGGGAATTCTGGATATGACCGAGAACCGTTAGCATAAAGCCATTGACCTTTCTCAATCTGCCGACAGTTAGGACATTGCATTGCTCCTTTTACATTGAATGCTGAACCAACACAATCTGCATGACACAGAAAGTATAGTAAGCACAAAAATTTAATAACATGTAGGAGCTCTTTGGAGCAATCACTTTGTTTGAAATAGATTCCAAAAAAACATGAAAGAAAGCAGTGTTGCCTTAAAGCAAGCACAACCATAGTTATTAATCACAGATAGCAACCGAGCCCAAAAATGATATAGCAAGATAACGCGTAGCAGAATGTCCATTATTCAAATTTTCTATACAAATTCAGTAATTGATAATATATGTATGAAAGCTTAAGAACCACTCAAAATTATGAGATCGGAATGTTTTCATTTTAATTTCACTGGACATGGCCAAAAGATTTTATTTCACTTGTTGATTACTCCATAACATGAAACCCAAACTCTAAACCTGGAATGTCTTCTCAATAAAATATATGCAGCTGCTTCTCTCTTACTTCCGCAACAACCGCCACACCATTGAGTATGAAGCTGATTCTCTCCTCCTTCATTTCTTCTTGTATTTTTTTTCTTTTTCTTGCTTCTTTTCTTCTCAGTATGTGACGGAGCTGGCCGAAACAGCAAAATCACCAAAGATTAGTGGGTCGGAAGGGTTATGCAGTAACAGAGTAGGGTTTACTAATGATTTCACCATCTAAGCCCTATTGTGTGCGTAAAAACCACAACATCACCCACTAGTTGAAAGTACGACAAAGCCACGTCCAAATAGAGGCCACCGGCCTCTCAGCTCCGTGACAAAAAGCACTACTACCGCGCGCTTTTGATAACACTGCAGTCTTCACAACATTAAGTATTTTCCCTTTACATATGTCCATCACGGAATACATTAGGTGGTTAGGGCAACATATGATTTAGGTAAAGATAGCTCGGAATCAAATTTTAATTACAACCCTTAATGTGCCAAATGTTCAAAAGTAATTGCCAATTTTATCAAATTTCTGCATCTTAGGAGATTCCCGGTAACAACCACCTTCTACCGTCTCTAGTGACCGGCTGCCTGAGTTATTTCTTTATGTCCGACCTAAGTGATCAGTTATGTTAAGACACTAACGTTTTTTACATAGTCAATAGCATTAGGTGGTTAGGGCAATAGCGGACAATAGCGGCGTTATAGGAAGGGCCTTAGCGGTGCAGAAAACTATAGCGGGTAACGGGGGCAAAGCGGTTTCCGGACTGGAGTGGTTTTTGTCCCGCTATTTTGCCCTGTGAAAAACCGAAATTACCCTTTAAATTTAAAATGTTTTAGGGTAATTTTAGGTTTTTCAAACAAATTTGAGTTGAGGCTCAACCCTAACCTTCCTTCACCTCTCTATCTTCATATGTTTATAATTATTATTTATGTAATTTATCTAGAAAATGATCAAATAGCAGCCATCCCGCTATACGCTGTCTCATTTTTGGGTCAGCCGCTCTGCACTGCTATCTTGGATTGACTACTCTGGTTTTTTTATCGTTACATAACGGTAATTCCGAATAGCGCCATCCCACTATTTTCTATCCTATTATAGCATTTTAGACGATATCCACTCCACTTCATTATCCGGGACTAATATTAACAATATTTTATGTATACAAAACAATTTAGTAGAACAATAAATCAAAACAATTGTACATGAAAAAATAAAGCTAACAACGACAATATGACAATCAACTCCATAACTTGTCCAAAAAAACAACTCCACAAGGAAACTACATATGTGATATGTCAATCAGATATTCTACCAGTTTTATATCAAGTTGGTCAAAATGTCTCCATTAGAGTATGAAATTCAATAAGACCCACATAAAGATGAATTTCTATCTACAATAAATCATGAAAACTGATCTAGATGTCCAAAGCTCCATCATGAAAAACTAACTTCGTCGAATATGAAATCCAGAACAACATCAACCAACACATGTAACGGATCAAAATTAAAAACATCCCTCCAAAATAGATCATTTCCAAAACAAAGATACATATCCAATCATCAATATTCTGTCTTGACAATAATTTCACAATAACAAAGCAACCCCTTTTTCAAATGATCATAATCACTAACAAATAAACAACAAATTCTTTTAATTTTACAACCTTCAACATCAACCAACACATAATTATGAAACAAAGTCATACATAGTAACGGTAAAAAAAACAAAAAGCAGATCTCAATTGTTCTAATTCAAACTTGAAACTCATGTATTAAGAGAGAGAATTTATGATTACCAAGATGAAATTGATGTCCACAAATAAGCTTAGCCAAGGATCTATCTCCATTATCCATAACAACCTCAAGGCAGATTGAACAAGAAACAGACCCAAAGGGCTTTGTTCCTGGACCATCCCCTTCATCAACAACCTTATTATGTCTACCAAGTTTATTATTATCCTCTTCCTGGTCTGTACCAAGACCCATTACAAAAACCCTAAAAATCAGGTGAATAATTAAAAGAGAAAAAGCAAAGAAATCGGAGAACGTTGTTATGTTAATTCAATTGATGTTTGTATGTATTTTTGTGTGTCTGGATTATGAGAAAGAAAATGGAAGATTATGAGATCTAAGTCTTCTTTTGGTTTGTATTTGGAACAAGGAAGAAGAGAAATGACCGAGGATGACAATTGTATCTTGTCTTGTTGTGTGTGAATATGAATTTTCTTGTTGTACCAATGTATCTTGTCCAAACAACTTAACCAACGGCCACGATTTATTCAAAATCTTTTACTTTGGTTTGACCTTGTTTATTCTTTATCTTTAATTAGTTTTTTTTATAAATATTTTAATTAAGTCATTTTAGTTAAAGTAAAATGCACACTAATACAAATATTATACACAATATTTTAATTTTTTTATTTTTGATAAAAAACAAACTTTGTCTCAATATTACATTTTGGTCCATATGAACGCATAAACATATTAGAGTTTTCATTCATCCATTTTATATGATTTAATTTAATAGTTTCTCTAGCTAACTCATGAGCAACTTTGTTTTTTTTTCTTCTTTCTAGAGTGATATTAATAACATCCACTCTCTTCGTACACTTTCTAAGATTATTAATTGATTTACAAGTCATTCACTCATTATTTCTGGAAATGATTTTCTCTCTATCATTCTATATGTTTGTCAGAACTAAACAATATGTTTCAAACACCATACTTTCAAATCTAATTTTGATGGTTAGGTAGAGGGCTTTCTTCATAGCCATGACGTCCGCTGCAAGCTAATCAAATTCACATTGTATACATTCATAGCTTTGTTAGATGATTTCTCCTTTTTTATCGTTGAAAACCATACCTAAACCCCATATTCCTTCTTTTATCATTGAGGCATCTGAATTACTCTTAATACAAACTACATTCAGCCTTTCATCTTGTTCCTTCGTTCTGGAGCTATTCTTATTACGATCACACCACAGATAATTGTTTTTAGTAACTAGTGTCTCTTCATTCTTTTAGTATTTTCTTATTGTTGTTATGTATGATTCATTATGATATGTCTTCTTCTTTGTTTTCGATATTGACGATGTTATCGTTTTCTCTTTATTTTTCTGCATTTAACAATCAATACTTTTTGCATGTTGATCTAATTATCATTGTTTTTTCCTCTTTCATCAAGTGCATGTATGCATTTTCTTTTGTTGTTTTTTTTTACTATCTCTGGTATAGTGTTTGAGACACTTCACATTCAATCCATTATTAGTGTGAGCCGATTCCCAGAAAGCATTACCCCGATTGAAGTAAGTATCAGTATCATAGGAGTGACTTTACTTTTCCAAACCAATTTCTAAAACTATTTCTCCTTGTCTTTATCATATATACTAATATTTTTACAGTTATTCCACTTTTTTATACCATAGTACCCTGATTTAACAATGTAATGTCCATTTATATTAGCTTTCCATCCAATAGAGTCCTCATTTTCAAGATTATGGAGGGGGATCCTAAGGATTTTCTCTTTATCAGTAGGAATACATTTTCTGTGAATAATATCTAGGTCCCAACAACTATTTTCCTCATCAATGTGGTCCCTAACTCTAAATTGTATTTGTTTTCAAGGGCTTTTGTGTTAGGATTTTAAGACGACATTTGTTTGGAATCCAGCTATTTTTCCAGATATTAACCTTTTTCTATTACCAATGTTACAACAACTTTCTCTCTTAATAATTCAGCTGCAAGGTTAGATGCTCCTCCGTAACTGACTAGGTCTCTTTCCCAGCGTAGCATTAAGAATATTAGACTTTGCGCAATACCTAACTTTAATAATTCTAGCCACAAATCATAACGTATACCGATCGCATCCCTCATACACTTATACCTAAGTACATCATCCATCTATAGAGCCTCTCACCTCACGTGAGTTGGACTTCTAAAATTATCGTAAAACCTCATCGTACATGGCTTCTTGTCATCGGGGGTAAGTCCTAACCACCACACACAATGTAATATACCTATTAAGGCCTTTGAGTTCCCTTGCCCTTGCAGGAGGAACACACACATGTAACTTTTTACCAATATAGTGGCATCCACCATGGGATCGCGGTAAGGGTGGAAATAGGCTGGGTCGAGCTAGGCTTTGTCAAGCATGAGCCTGACCTGCTAAAAAATTTAAAGCCTAAGCCTGGATGGTAGCCTATCATAGGCTTGATTTTAGGCCTGGGTTTGACCTTTTTGAAGATCTGATTGGCCTACTAGCCTACTCAAAAGCATACTTTATTTGAACAATTCTTAAAGAATTAAAGAAATGTAACTAATGTTAAATAGACTAACAACTTAAAAGATCAATGAGACTAAATATTTGTTTTCATTGACTCATACGAATTTACCTATTAGCATAAGTTTTGTAATACTATTTGTTTGAGAGAACTTATGAAAATAACTTATGACAACAACTTATGACATTGTTCGTAAGGTTTTTTCAAATTTTTTCATAAGATATTCAAGATAACTACTCCCTTCATTCCTATTTATAAGCAAATTTTGACTTTTTAGGTTCATTGAATAAATGGTGTATTTAGACTATATATAGGTTAGATACATCAATTATTCAAAGAACCTAAAAAATTAAAATTTGCTTATAAATAAGAATGGAGGGAGTAAGTTTTATTTTAGTATTTTAATTCAAAGTACAAAATACAATATAATAATAATAATACATTTGTCCATTTTTATTTAAATAGGTCAGCCTCGTAGGCTTAAAAGGCTTTTTTCATAGCCTGTGGCCTAGCCTTTTCAGCTAAATAGGCCTATAAAAAAACCTAGGTCAGTTCTATTTTAAAAAAATCATGGCCTGGCCAGAGCCCAAGTAGGCTAGGCCACAGGCCCCTGTTAGTTGGTCTGGCCTATTCCTACCCCTAGGCCTTGATAAAACTAACATGGGTCACGTCTTCTTCATCATTATCACCTTTCCCATTGTTACCCTTCACTCTAACTCGTAACCACTTCCAGACATGGTTAACAAGAGAGCAACATCCTCTGTGCCAGAAGGTACCAGCGGTAGCAGTGATATCGATGCCCTTGGCAGAGATGTGTGTCGCCATGGACGAGTTACGCCACTATAACCAGACATTGGAGGATGATGTCCTTAACATCAGACAGCGCCACCATGAGTCTATTCCTCTAGATGAGATAGAAATATTAGACCCCTAACCACTCTCAGACAAGATATGAGGGTGTATGTTCGCGAGGATTAAAATCTCTTTGGCCAAGTTTTATGCATGCAACAATCCCTACGAGCATGTCGTCTCCATCAACACACATATGGCCATTATAGGAGCGCCCAACTCCTTGAAGTGCAAGCTTCTATATGGAAATTCCATAAACGCCGCCCTTCGATTGTATATGAGTTTACCTCGTGCTTCTGTCAATAGCTATCAAGAATCATAAAGAACCTAGTACATCATTTCACCGTCAATCACCACATAAATATGTCCACCACAAACTAGTTTAACATACACTAGGGTCCATCATAATCACTAAGGTACTATGTCGCCCGCTTTAACGAAGCCACTATCATGATCATACCACCAATAAATATTTGTGGAGGCATTTTAAAATGGGCTCAGGCGTGACACTTTAATGAGTACCTCACCTATAAGTCGACACTTTCGTTGGTAGAGGTGGTCACCCGAGCAGAATGCTACATAAAGGGCGATGAAAGCAACACTAAAAAGAAGGCCAAAGATGTTAATGAGCTATTTCCCAACATAGAAGGCTCACATCACCAAAATAAGATCAATTATACTTAACCCATAAATGACAAGGTTACATTCAAAAGGGTACGTAAGGAGGTAGAGACTTCACGTCCCTGAATACTTGCCATGAATAGATCTAGCGCGAGGTCCTCCACCTTGACAACATCCTTATGCTGCTTAGTCCCAAGGAAGGTGTGATGGGTTATGAACCAGGAAGGTGGTGCAAGTTCCATAGAGTCGAGGAATACCACACTGAAGATTGCTACCAGCTCAAAAAGGAAATCGAGAGACTAATATAGTAGATACACCTCAATAAATATGTGAATGATGGGACGATGCTGGAAGCCATAGGCCCAACAAAGCCAAAGAGGCGCCTCAGGGTGAAGGTAGTAAAGTTTCACGCTACACGTTCAACACCATAGTAGGAGGATTCACCAGAGGTGTGAAAGCAAGTTCAACCCAAAAAAGGCATGCTTTCTAGAACCGGAGTATAAAAAACCTCCCTGAAGTCGAGACCGAAGGCAAGCGCCAAGCGCCAGAAACCACAATCGTCTTCTCAAAGAAAGATGCAGTTGGCATCCATCCTTATAATGACTACCTAATGGTCATTATTGTCTAGTGTGAAGACTGAGAAATTAAAAGAGTACTCGTTGACCAAGGTAGTTCTGCAGACATACTATATTGGGAGGCATTTGAAAGACTTTGCCTTGACTTAGAAGATTTGAAGACTTTCATACGATCATTGGTCAGATTCTCTAGAGAAGAGTTACATGTAAAGGTATATATCATCATAAGGATCACTTTTGGATAAGAAGATCAGTCCAAGGAGATAAATGTTAGGTATTTGGTTATTGATACCCCTTCTTCGTATAATATGATTATAGGGCAACCAACTATTAATCTCCTGGGTATTGCATTATCCACTTTGTATTTATGCATGAAGTATCCACTCTCCAATGGGCGAGTGGAAGTTATACAAAGAGATTAAGAGATTGCTATGAAGTGTTACATTGAAAGCCTTAAGTGTAAGTTTTTGAGTGCGCCTAAGATGGGGCTGAATAAAGTGGATTGTAGATTTTTATTCTTTTATGTGATGATGTTCTTATTTTCTTGTTTGTGTATGAATATGAAAGTGATAAATACAAAAAATAAAGAACACAAGATATTTATACCAGTTCCCCTCACACTTCGAGAGTACTCCAGTCCCCTTACCAACATGTAAGAGAT